ACCCACAGTGACCTCAGGTTTTGTTTGAATAGCAGCTTCCCATCTGGCATCGACCCAACAGAGTTTATTAACCTGGGAAGATTAGGGTTGGCCTGTTAGTAATTTGGGGTCTGTTCTGAGATACAAAATCACCTCTGTTATTAAATTGTACTCACATCCTGAACAGCACTTGACAGGTTGTGCAGGGTGCCTGTAGACCAGTGTGTTCAAAATTAGAGGCTCCTTCCTGCTTGCCTCCCTATATGGGTCCCTCCACGCTGACAAAAGCACAGTGACTGTCAGCAGATTCCTTTACTTTTGTTTGTAGCTGGTAGGAATTGTTCCAATGCATTTTAAACAGCGTTTCTCAAACTGGATGACTGGCCAGCAGGCGTAGAATCACCTGGAGTGCTTATCTGAAAATAGCAGATTTAGGGAGCCTGTGAATTGACCAATCTCATCAGGTGATTCTTTTCAACAGTCAAGTTTGAGAATGACTGGGTTAAATTGTGGGAAAGGGTCCAGATTTTAAAGGTGCTTCAAGATTGCCCTCTGCTGATACTGTTTGTCTTTCTACTGTTTTACCTCCTAACTTCTCCCCATTCTCAGATTAAAGCTAGACTATAGACCCACACAAACACACTCCTGAGATTTGGTCACTCGCTTGTGTTTGGGGTGGATTGCCTAGAAAAGCAAGTCATATGGCAATGGATTGTTCTCACCTAATTAGTTTTTGCTCAGTACTAGTATGGGCGACCTGTTTACACATGGCTTCCTCCAGAAGCCTTTCTTGATTGTAGCTGGTGTGAAAGACTAGATCAGTAGAGTTGGAAAAGCTTTATAACCAGTGTGTCATATGCTTGCTATTTAAAGGTACGTGATGTTTTTGTTTTTTGCCACATTCACTTTAGTTTTTTAATAAATATTTTTCAAAAATGAACTCATTCAGTAGTGTGCATTTATTGAGCATCTACTATGCGCAGGTGCAGTGATACTGCACCACTGGCACCACTGCATCTGGAATTGGAGCTTTCACTGTTTCCACATGAGGAAACAGTCACTGGGCCAGGGTCACAGCACAGGTGCGTGGCAGCACTGGGATCCAAATTCACTTCCCTGAACCACTGATGACGGTGGTTGGTGTAGGTCTTCTCTGGGGCTGTTCTTTCTGTCTGGCAGCACCAGCACCTGTGCAAGAAGGGGTTCCTCCTGCTTCAGAGTCAGATGGAAGAAGCTTGGCTGGTGTTGAGGTCCAGAATGTTGGGATAGAACCAAGGTGACCGACTCCCTCAGCCCTAACCCTAAACTCTCAGAAGGATTCAGAAGATAGCCAGGCGTGGTGGGTCACGTCTGTAATCCCAGCACTTTGGGAGATGGAGGACAGGATTGCCTGAGCCCATGGGTTCAAGACCAGCCTGGGCAACTTGGTGAGACCCCCCCCCCCCCCCCCCC